TTCAATTTTATCTATTCACTTAACTGTGGGTAGATATGTCGCTATCAAAGTAATAATACTTCTAAAACAATTCTTGCACCACTTTTTAACCTTTATTGTAGACATTCCGGAAAAAATTGACGAGGAGAAAGTCTTGGAACGGGATAGAATAACACAGCTATTTGCAAATATATCCAGTTTGCATCAGTTTCACAATACTCACTTGTTGCCTGCATTGATGGAAAGTTCACGAGATTGGCATACTACACATAGGTATAGAACAGCTCGTTTATTATGACTGCTTCATTTATTTGAAAAAAAAAAATAGTTATGCGCAGTCTGATTTTATCAAGTATTCCTGATTGTATTGGATAGGCAAAGCTGGGATCATCAGTTTAAGATAGGATCAGTGAATTCGGTGACAATGCACTATACATGAATGTTTATGTTACTTCATTGCAAAAATGTTTTATCCTTTTATTGTTTTAAAGAATTAGTGATGTTCTTCGAAAACGTGCCCCTTTCCTGAAGATGTATTCGGAATACACAAACAATTACAAACGAGCGACCAAAATTTTTGACGAATGTTTGAAAAAGAAGCGACGTTTCGCACAAATTGTCCATGAAATTGAGGTTCTTCTTTTAAAAAGATCTGCTTGCAAGGTATTAACTTCATGTCCAAGCTCTCATCACCTTTGCATCTAGCTTTCAAGAAATCAGAATGCAAGAAAAATCCACAAAGATTCAAATAGTCAATAATCTATTTTATTCACTTCTTTACAGACGAAACCGGAATGTGAAAATTTACCTTTAGTTTCACATCTGATATGTCCAGTACAACGTGTCATGCGATATCAGCTGTTATTGCAGGTAATAATTTTCCATTGATCATCATAATTCATGTCAAAGTTAACACTGTTTTTACTTAATGGTCCTGGTTGGCCAGCAAGTCTGTACTTTCATACATGAATAAATAGGAGATATCATTCCGTTTAAAGAAAGAAAACCGTCGACAATTTAGTTCTTCTTTTTAAGGAATACAAGAAGCATCTGGATCCTTCAGATGTTGATTACAATGATACAGAAGCTGCTCTGGAACTGGTGCTTGACGCAGCAAGTCATGCAAATGAGATGATGCGTAAATTGGTATGTGCAATGGTGGCTGCATTCATACCAAAATAATTTAATTAGGACTTTAAAAGTAGCAGTTCTTGCTTTTAGGACCGTTATAAAAACGTGCTCGAAGTTCAAGAGCAGGTAGGCAGTGCAGTTTCATTGGTGTCGCCAGGTCGCGAATTAATCCGCAAGGGAAAGGTGATGAAGGTAGGTAGTTCTTAATAGCTCTTGGAAGAAGTTTAACACCACCATTTATAATTCCATGCAGCAACTTTAAATGGAATATGTAAATAAATGCGAAGGTAGAGCTATTCAGGAAAAGGCATAACCATTATTTTGAAGATATTGTCGTCATCAGAAAAAACTGAAGAACGGTATTTGTTTCTTTTCAACGACTTACTACTTCTTGCTTCGGAAAGGACATTGCCCGGTTTTGCTAAACTTAAGGTTCGAGCAATCTTCGATGCGACATTAGCACAGGTGTGCTTGTCACCGTCTTCTTCTTAATGTTTAAAAATAATTATTTTGGTTGGTCATTCAATGAGTTGACTAGTTACTGATTATGATACATTTAAATACCTTTAAATCTCTCAGGACAGCGAGTTATACAACGAGTAGATGACAAATAGTTCCATCAGGTTGATAACAAATATGATGAATAGTGAATATAACTTTGTTGAATTGACGTACTTTTTCTTACGTATGACATATTTTGTATAAAGATCGAGCTGAACGAAAAAAAACGTAAAACGCCGCATTTGCGATTCCTGTAGAGTCGGTAAGAGAACCCTGCTTTGGACATTGGGAACAAGTGCTGCTGAAGATACATGAAAATAAGTAGCTTAAATTTGCAAACCATATGGCGATTTGAAAAATGGTGGTTATACTTGGAAAAGTTTCCTTCCCTTTTATTCTGGAAGACTAAATGGAGTGCTTTCAGATCTGTGAGGGTGATAACCTTGAACACGAAAATTCATTTTATTTGCGCGGTTCGGATTCAGCAAATGGTCCATCCCGGTAAATTTTATGTGAATTTCTGCTAGTAATCTACTAAAGTCTTTGGTGTCTCATCATGTCTTTAAATTATTCTCTTATAGCTGCATAGAACTGATGACCGGAAATAGCAAAGAAAAGAGTGAATGGATAGATGCGATCTGGAATGTTATCAGTGAAAGTTTATCGCGCAAGAAATCCTTCAGTCCGCCGGTATCATTCTTAGCATCCAATAATTTAGATACAGTTAAGCAACATCATTAATTTATTTACGTTTAAATATTTTAGTGTTGTAGCTTCAATAAATGATAAGGGCCAACCTTGCAACTCCTCGGCCTAATTTATTTTATATAGATGCCGACTATCATATCACCGCGGTCTGAAAATCGCTGTTGTGCTAAGTGTGACGCCGAATTCTCATTCATCTCGAAAGGTACCGCTTGCAGTCATTGCGCACAACGATTCTGCAAAAAATGTTTCGGGAAGCTACGCAGCGAAGATAAAAACATGCGTATCTGTGATACTTGCCTGCGACAGCGCGTAAGTCACATAGGATTTTTCTCAAAGAGACTAACTAATATGATGTGACTACATAATATTTGGCAAAGTATGGATGCATGATATGAGTACCCCCAAAGAGGAATATTCCGTTCGTTTCCTTCACAACCATTCTAAATCGAACTTCTTGATGGGCCTTCATCTTTATCAGAATTTGGATTGAACTTTCGTTTAATCCTACTAATTAAAAAAAGAAAGCAATTATAAATTTAGGATCTATGGGGCACATTTAATAATAGCTCCAAAATTAGGATGAACGATCTCGAACACGGATCAGTTCATTGTTAATATGTTTGGTGATCATAGTAAGAAGTTGCCTTACTGCAACAGTAATGAATTTTAAGGATTACTCCCAAACAAAAGAAAACAATTCAAGAACACGAACAAACCCACTATCGGTAGGAGCTAAAGAAGGCGAAATACTCTATGCCAGTTACGTTAAATTCCGTGGTTCATTGAACAAGCCGTTAAAGAGATATTTCGTTGTGCGTAAGGACTTCTGTCTATATTCCTACGCTTCCGATAATGTGAGTTCCTTTTTTATTTACCTTTATGTACACAAACTTTGAAATTCTTAAGTTAGGAGAGCTTGACAATGATACCAGGGTGCTATGCAATGCTTTGTATCTGGTTCGCATATGTGGTCCTTGAGTTTGAAACAGTTAAGATGAACTTCCGTACAATTTTGTGATACTTATTATGTTGCCAAGTACCTGCAGGCAGAAAGCGCCCTCACAATGCTTCCACTTCCTGGCTGTGAAGTTAAGATGAATAATGAACGACTTACATTTACCATAAAGCATATGCATCGACAATATATGGTTAGTGTGGAAAAAGAAGAAACACAAATAAAGTGGATGGCCGTACTGGATCTCGCTTCTAATGCCGTACTCAGGGAGAAGACAAATTCGTGATTACCCTCTCTCACCCTGATCACGATGCTAATTTAACTGGAAATTGCCTCTCAAAGCATAAACTAATAAATATTCTGATCCTGTAATATGAATTTATGTGATCTTAATTCTTCTCTTTTAGGATTTTTTGTATGTTCTACTTTCGTTAGATGGTTACTAAATACTAGGAATTCTAAAACTGGTTAGTGATCTTTCTCCTCTAAAAACCGCAAAAAGTGATTCCGGTAAGTTGCAGAGAGAGAAAACAGCATAGTAAGTGCGCTGACAAGAAGCTATTAACAGTTAAGTGAGACTGGTTAGCGACACACGAACTTTCGTATTTCCAACAAAGATGGAGAATGTAAAGCAGTGTAATTTAGTCATACTTTGACCATATTGCTGATTTGCGGAAACATGGCAAAAGAACTGCTTGCCCATTGTCATCTTAACCTTATTTACATATTAAAAATGACGTTTCCTAAAAAATTAGTGAATCTCGGATTGGTTAGGACTAGAACAGTTATTCCAAACAGTCTAAATTATTCCAGATTTTTATTTGTATCTTCTTCAGCTTTTACTCTTACACAATTTCCCGTATATGCGGTTGTTATTATAATGCATTCCAATCAGTAATTTGTATATAATTATTGATCACAGCTAATGCGGTTAAATGTTAAAATTTTTTTTTCTTTAATTATCTGCAAGAAGTAAATTAAAGATTAGTGGTGCGATTAAAAATAACGAGTGGATTTGAAAAGCGTGTAGTATTGAAGTATTTTATTGACAGATTACTTTATTTCGCTAATTTCAGATCATCATTAATATTTTGCTCTAAGGCTTTTCCGTTGCATTTCATATTTCATTTTGACTGCAGCGTACTGTTTTGAATTCAAAGATTAATTTCGATAATGAAATAGTATTTTGGATGGCTATCCAAAGTAGTCCTGAAATTTTGCATTGTAATTTGAGGTAAATATGTAATCTGAGCAAAATTCAATTATTTCTGCTCTACCACTTCACACAAAATATGCTATCATGCCCATCCTTAAGTTTTAATAACACAAACCTCATCATCGCTTTCTTCATCTTTATTCTCTTTATTATTTTCCTCATACAAAATGTCGCTCGCTTCTGACAGGAATAATTTGTACTCAGTAGGCTCCACGTACACATCGTCTAAAGGTATTCGTAGATTCCAATTTCGGTAAGCATGAAGTCGTCGTTTAAAGCTGAATGGAAAATTAATGTTTTTATTATTATCAAAAGGACCTCCTAATGTTTCCAAATCTCCCAAAAAGAACAAAATGAGCGCTGTTTCGAAAGGAATCGTTTTCATCCGTCCTAAATGCTTGTAACAAGAGTTATATGGTATTAGTTATTTAGGATCATCGAATTTTGTCTGTTCACCTCAAGATTTGATTTTCGTCATCTGAGGTTTGAGAATTTTGTCCAAAACTCCTTGGATCCATCGAGTTACACTGGTCGGCATTTTCATAGTCAGCTGAATCAATGGGAAAACCGGATGAGTCCATTCCCAACGCCTTCGGATCACCACAAAACTCAGCCCTTAATGTGGTGTCCACCTTAAGACGAGTTCTTGGAATGGGTTTGAAGCACTGGCTCGAAATCAGTTCACTGTTTGACATGTGCGATGTTCCCTCTGCCATACTATGTAATCCATCATAAATTTCTTGATAAATTTCCACCACTTCCTGCAGTAGTGAACGTAATACCTACTTGAAGTTAAAACCTCCTATTTTTGTACTAAGCTCATTCGTTCATATATATTTTAGGAGTAAGCTTATTGCGTTTATCAACTTAAAAAAATAACTTAAATTTAAAGATTAAGATTTCCATATACTAGCTGGATTAAATCAATAAGCGAGACAAAACATAAAACAGTTGTGTGCGAGAACCGTTACTTGTGGTTCGGGATTCTTTGGAACTCTGTCTTCGGTGAAGTCTGGTGTAGTACCAATGCTTGTTGGTGTTACGGTAACAATTGGATAAGTAAAAGAAGAATCGCGATAATAATTCAGTGTGGCGATGTGTTTTATCTCTGTTCTCCTTATCTTGCAAAATAATGATCGTATCCTTAAAGTATTGAAATAACTACAACTAATGAGTAATGACTGCATTGTGCGCTTATTGGTCCTGTTAATACTGATTCGTCTGTTTTATGAGGCGATTTACGTTAGGTACAACTATCCAGAATTCTCCTTTAAGCGATTCCTCCGTAGCTTAGGCGGACATTCCCGTCAACGTCAACGTTTTTACAGATCATTTAAGCATGATATCTTCGATCATGTTTTGTTTTGGAGAATATAATTAATTCTATAAAAACAGATTTGAAACCTCCGTCTCTGAAAATAAAGTAGAGCAAGAAATGCGATGGCACCAATAATACCAACAAATCCAAAATTTGGCCATACACTCGAACTAAAGTGCTTACTGACATCAACATCTGAAACCAAAGGGTCCCAGAACAATGGCTTCATACACTGTCGAGGATGTACAGAACCCTTAAAATATGATTTCTTTATGTATCGTAAATATATCCAAAATTATTAGCGTTGTGAAACATCGTTTGATAAGGTTTGTACCGCAGTCACGTAATAATTCTTCCAATTTTGTGCGTATTAATAAATATGAATGAATAATGGGTACATTTCAAGATACCAGCTACTCTTTTCTAGTAGAAAATTCTCTGCATCTAGCAAAACGACTAAATGGCCAGGAAGACAGCAGTGAAAGCAGGAGTTATATAAATCATATAAATTTTAATTAGTGGATGCTACAATGGTTCCAAGTAGAAATTAATTGATATTTCAGATACCCAGCGGCCTCAAAACTATAAAAAGCTGAACTTAAACCCACTGGGGAATTGTTGTCACTCAAAATACAAAAAACGGATTATTCCGCCTTATTGTAAAAAAAACAAACTACAGGACATAAAACATACCGTTCCCAGGGTAATAAGAGGCTTCACACATTGCCGACATTCGGTCTGATTTGACCTTTCCTGAAATGGAGTTTACAGAAGGGCACAAAAGACATTTTATTAACTACAAAATAACATCTTAGATCCTTTGTTCTGTCACGCCTTTTGCACTTCATGTTTCCAAGAATAGTCATCCCATTTTTAATGTCTACTTGTTTCATCCCTGCGGAAGAGTTGAAAATCAAATTTTGTAGATGAATTTTAAACACATACATATCCAAGCAGCAGACATTAAAAACTGGATGACTATTCCTCCAAGTATTCTTGTGCGAACTACCTGTAGAAAAATTTCTACTTGTTTTTAAAATTACATATGTTGAATCAGTTAGATTGAAGATTCATCTAAAACCTAAAACTGTCATACAATTACTTGATAATAATTTCGAGGACAAAAGAAACATTCTGATGGCGATGACAAGTTAATATACGTTCCTGGAGGACAATCGAGCACAGTGCAATTGCTTTGACTAATGCTTCCATTATCAGGGGTGGTAAAGTAGTCAGGACATGGAGTGCAACGAGCTTCCGTGGAATTTTCTTGCCGATATTTCCCTTTTGCACATGTAATGCATTGAGAATGTGCACCCATTGACATACCTGCACCACAGATAACCGTACAATTTGAAACATGCACTGAACCCTAAACATTAATTATCACCGTTATAGTGTATGAATTTAACGGATATAAAAAGTGAAACTAAGAGCTTACAGATTGGAGTAAAACAAGAAAACGAAGTAAAATACTCTTTTCGATGTGCTGCGAGATTCTGGACAGGCATTGCATCGTAGCTGTCCCGGTCGATCTTGATACATTCCTTTCGGACATTTAACACAGCTTCCTTCTTGAATGCTGTAATGATAACCAGGAGTGCAGTTTGCTGAAATTATGATAAGCAGATTAGCAAACGGGAAAAGTTAGACCAACATTCACATTATAAGCGCCTAGTCATAAATTATTAACAACGGAAAATCAATATAGGATTTACTTAAAATAATCAGTGTATAACACTCAATTTATTTACTATGATTTATTTTTTGATATTAGAATGATATTTTGGACTGTGCTTCCTTTTCACCGATACAATTCATAATGCAGAGAAAAAAACTTACTGTAACAATCAAAAATACTCTGATAACCGATATCTTCAATTATCGGACCAGTTATTGTATTATTCGGACATGGAGTGCACTGCTTACAACCAGCGTTTTCCTTAAACGTATTTTCCGGACAAGGCATACATTTATCCTTTGTACAGTACATGCCAGGTGGACATTTTACTAAAAATTAAAATTACCACAGTTCAAAAACCTGCACAGGCTGTGTAACCATAAGTTTAAGCGTTTCATTTTTCATCTCTAATTCGTTTTCTTTTCTTGTTAAGATTGCAAAAAATAAAAATTATAGAAATAAAAAAATGAAATAATACCACATGAGAGAGTATCACTTTCAAAAATTTGAGCAGGATAATTACTAGTAGGACATTGCCATAATGTTTGCAGCTTTCCACTGTTGTTGCCAAATACTTTATTCAGATTCTCGGTTATTACAGGCTTTATTGACTTTCTTGTGATACTTAAAATTTGATTTAATTTGATCCGAATTGCTCAAGGTACCAAAGTCGTGGCAAGCAGGGATTACCATCTTCCACTCAATTTTGTGGAGTACATAATAAACATTGGCAGTTTCTATGAAAAAATTTAATAAAATTGTTCAAGGTAAGAACAGTGAATAAATTAATGGGCATGAAAATGATCATGCTGTTCAATATGATCAAAAGAATTTCCTTCATTTAACATTTCGACTTCTATTTTAAGAGTCAAATGAAGAATTATACAAGTGTCAACAATTGTAGGACATTTTCCTGCCCTCAATTTAATAGATCTCTTTCGGGATAGAAAGAAAAATGACTTCTGCTATAGGTGACAAATGCAAAAAATGGATTAAGCTGAAATCATAGAAATTTATGCACTTAACAAATTGAAAAAATGTGTTGTTTCGGACCATTACAGGTTACATTTTTGCTATAAAAAAGATACAAAGCAACTAACTTCACGGTGATCGAATAGTGAAGATATATGTTTTGAGTTAGTTTGTTGGACTTCCCCAAAACTTGATCTTTACAACTTGAATTTGACCAGATTTTGAGTTCATTGCTACAATTCAGAGAGGTACAAAAGTGATTGAATTGTTTATCAGCATTCTGAAATGATCAGCATTTTCATTACGAAATATTTCGAACACGTTATTTAGAATGGTTTCTAAAAATCCTATTTTAGCAAAACAAAAGCTAGATTGTATTCCTAGAAAGATGATGTATTGTGCATGTAAATTACCTTAAATGTGAGTTCTGGAACATTAGTTGTAAAGTCATCAAATAAGGAACAAAAAAGTTATACAAAAGGACTAGTCAAATAATATAAGTATAATACATATCGGTATAATACAGTAATCGGGAAATACCCTCAATAGGCTTTTCAAATACCGATGACATAACTAATTAACTGAGTACGATCAACCAAGCACATTCCTCAGCAAAATGGTACTGTAAACCAACCAAAATTACAGTTGTCAGATTCTTTTTATACACTTCAAATTCACCACAACTTGCTGTGACGATCATCAAACCTGAAACAACCTTTAAATAGTCATTCACTCTGGATTGGCTTTGCAGGATCACCATAAAATAATTTTGTACTATTTTCAAATTTCATTCATTTGAAAAGAGTACTAGCCATTTAACTGTTGCAATGGAGCTCGATACTTCAAACAACTTGGAAAATAGAAATTGATTCCATGCGGCCAGCGAGTCCACTGACCCTAAGAAGATATGAAATAGAATGTGAAAACAATCCATCGCCATTTACTGGTACGACTAATTATTATATTAAAGAATATAAAACACGTTTTTCCTGAAAACCTATGAAGCTTCTAGTTTTTTCCTAACGAAAGAATCCGTAAATCCAGAATTCAAGATCTGTAAAGGCTTGATCCCATTGTACACAGATTCGACATTCTTTCTCCAGCATGCCCTAACATTCCTTGATTGAAATGCCTCGAAAGACTAACCATCAGATCACACAAGTAGAAGTCAGTAACTGGATGAATAGGCATATAATTCGCTTCACACTCAACAAATGCCACTTTTCGAACGGTCTCCGAATGGATATTTTGAACCGTAAAATTAATGCCATCGGTCTTTTCAGGATTAGAGCAGTTCATTGTTGCTATGACAAGATCGAATTGACAAGTTTCGATATTTCCAGTTTGATCTTCCGCAATGTACACGATGTGATATTTACCCCTGTATTATTAACATATTATTAGAAACCATCTGTTTTCAGTAACTATCATCTCTACTCATAAAAGAACTTTGTCCTTAATACCTATTGCAAGGATTTATAAATTTAGGGCAACTTAGGTATTTATCATATTTCTATTAAGTTTATGTTTTAACGTTTACCTTTAACATTCATTCGGTAATCACAAGAATGGTATTAAGCACGGAATATTTTGCAGGCTACTGTAAACTCTATCATTAGATAAAAAATTCAACAAACAAAGCGATATTCGTTATAAATATCATTTTCAACTTACCAGGTAAAAACATCACCACTATTGTAATTTGATGATATATGAACGATACCGTTATCGGCAAAGATTTCATTTGATTTCGATGGGGACCAATCCACGATCTTTAGTCTATTCTCAGAAGTTGTAATGATATTTGCTGGACAGTTAATTACCTTGGGTGGCATTTTATCTATAATAAACAATTCAGAAATAATTGGATGAAACTGTTTATGACAGAGATAACAGTCAGTCATATATGCGGAAAGTTTTTTCAAGCATATTAACTGACTCCCTCATGAAATGAACAAAATGAAGGTTACCCATAGCTGAACTGCAGTGATGTGGGTTTAGCAAACACTCGGAAAGCGTACAAATCCCCGGAAAATTACGGTTTCCACTCTTAACACCTGTGAACTGATTCCAATCAATAAGAGGAGCTTCACTATTTGTTACGACAGACTGCAGCCGTTGCTTACAGTAGTGAATAGAATCACTTATCTGTTTGCTCCGTAGAGCTGTACTGTACAGCTAAAAATTGATCAGTTTAAGTAATTTCGCCAACAGAACTATGATAAAAAAGCTCAGCAAAAGGTCAAGTCAACCTGTAAATCATTTTCCGATTTTTCTTATAATACATTAAAAATCCACAAAAACTTGCACATGTTTTTCTGCATATTAGTACAGAAATTATTAATGCTGCTGACTTCAATCTCATATCCATGAAACGAAATTATCGGCTGCTATAAATGACGGGAAATGCTGTTTCGGTGAGAGAAATGCAAAAGCAAACCTGAACCATACTCATCTCTCCGTGAAATGATTCTGAGGATCCTAACAAAATCCTCAAACTTCCGTTGACCGGTGGTATGTCCCATTTCCTTTTCCAAACAGTCTCACCATTTCGTATCCATTCGCTAATTCCATCCTCCCTTCTACGGAAGCAAAACTAAAAGAAATCTGAATTTCATATTACAGGCATATGAAATGGATAATTTGTACGCATGAAAAAAACAGGATTCAACAATAAATTAAAGAGATTTGAAGTTCACGTTATCTTATAAAGAAAGATTGCTGTACCTGTTGCCACTGGTTTTCCGTCATATTTGTCCATCCGGCATATTTGCCGAACCTTAGTGCATTCTGTGTTATTGATAGAACACTTTTTCCGAGTCTAAAATGGTTCCTTGTAGCGCATAAAACGAAACAATCAACAGAAGTACCCGCGTGATAGAAGGATGAGCGCGATTTTGTGAGGTATGATCGTGCATCGGACAAAGCTAATTCAGATATACAACTTCCCGTTCTCTGTTTTATCATTGCAAAATGAACATTTACTAGTGTAATCATCAGTGCCTTGTTTTACATCGTGATTCTTTCTCTCTTAATCTGTTTTAAAAGCATCACGTAGTCTCCCATGTAATGAAATGACTTAGGACAATCAAATTTCATAGATGAGGCTAAAATAGCATCTAAAAATCTATACCCTTGCTGATCGAAATGAACAAAAGAGACAAAGGGATTTTCTTCCATTGAGATTATTCTGATCCAGAAACATAACGTGAACTGTTTCAGTATACTGGCATCAAATGAACTGGATGTCAAATTTCGTGTCTGTTCGTTAAACATAACATTGAAATCCAAATCTTTCTCTGTAAACAACAATAATTAATTGCTTACCATTCATTGATAGCATTAATACATAAAAAGCAATGACAATAAATTTAACTGTTTTCACATCTGTGTCCCTCATACTGACATGTACAGCGACAAGTTGGCTCAGAATTGTTTGAAATACATTTGCCACCATTCAAACAATAATCTTCAAAATTATTTAGCATGCATACATCCTGCAAAAAGTTATTAATTAGCAAGAAAAAATTCCACAAGCAAAATGAGATTCGAAAATAAATCTTTTTCATTAACTACATCAGCGCCTTTCTCTCATTGTGAGAACCACCAATCAGAATCATAATCAAAGACTTATATAAATTGCAAATCATACGTTCTGAAAGCATTTGAAACAACCTACCGTAACCGCAGTGCAACTAACACCTTCATAATACTGAGGACATGAACACTTATAAGTTGTCAACGACAATATTGTACAATTACCATTATTTTGGCATGGATTCGGTGAGCACAGATCATGTTGACAATGATCCCCTTGATAACCTATTATTAAGGACACTTTTTACATGATTCGTATTGAAAATTGCTGAAAGAGAGCCGAAGATGAACTTCAATCTCCTAACGTAACGCACGCAACTTTTTGTGTATTTAAGCCATTGTTGTACAAAATCACCACTTTTACCAAATCTAACATACTAAATTCAGGAGTTTTCCTTCCGATATCAATGATCAAATTCACCCTCTTTCTATGTTCGTATTTAGTACTTATTTCCAAAGCCTTCTGTAGCCAACACTTCATATATATATATATCTCTTCTCCATAGTACTTCCTATTAAGTTTTACTCTGTTGCTTATTTCATGCTTTTAGTTTTCATCACACAAATAATATGATATCAATGTTTATCTGAAATCAATATCAGTTCTATATGTCATCTGCTAAAATTTAATGAATCATTCCAATTTTCCAAGTTTTTATTTCAGTAGACTGGATGCAGATTTTCTTCTTAGTGAATGAAGATACCTGGTTTACAGCGACATGTGTAGCCATCATCTTTCTGCTGACAAATGCCATCGTGTAAGCATGGATTCATTGGTTTGCAGTAATCAACTGATTCATTGCAGAAAGTGCCAGTTTTATTCGAGGGACATACGCACACATAACCGACATCTCCATTAAGTTCAGGTCGAGTGACACAGGTGGAACCAGAAATACACTGAGAATGAGTGCAAAGATCTATCAATTCAGTGCAATACATCCCTACAAAATAATGATTGCTGAGGGAAATAATCTATATATGTCTACGCAAATAGGTATATTTGGTAAAAATTTCTTTTGGCAATATTACCTGTCGAAAACAATTATTGTGTACTTACGGTACCTGTCCAACCGGTTGCACAGTTGCATACAAATTTGCCTTTGTACCCATAGCTCAAAGCGTGGCATTCCGAATTGATACTACACGGTTTTTCATCACATGGATCTATCAGCCTCTGAAAAGTGACACTTTAGACTGTGGCAAAAGAACGACATACAAATAAATATTATGTTCGTAATCTTTCAAATCTCAAACAAGCTGATAAAAGATTATCGGAGTAAGACCAGGAAGACTGAACTATTGCTAACATAAGCTCAAGCGGGTGAGTTAAGTGGAATGGTGTTAGCATCGTAAGAGTTTTGGAAAACCGTGGTTGGCTTTGCATGCACATAGTCATATCGCTACAAACACGTTGTAGAGCCTTCCCAATTTACACGGTGGGGCGCTCACAATGGATCTGAAGAGCCTCCCTTGATCGTCTTGTCCAAGTATAAGAACGTAAGGTTAAACCTGAAATTACCTCACATTGGTTTCCTTCAAAGCCTTCATCACAGATGCACGTGTAACCCAGAAATTTTGGCTTACAAGTACCATGCACACATGGTGACGAATCACACTGATTGATCTCCACTGAACAATCGTTTCCAGTAAAGCCGGGATAACATTCGCAGTACGCAGTTTGATCATTTTCACGACAATAACCATGTCTACAATCAATATTTTTGTCCACGCAAGCTGCGTGTGCAGTACACTTTTCTCCATAGTAACCTAGAATTGAACCATTATTCAGTCTCATCACAATCACACCCACACTGAAAAAAATAGAAAAAAAACTAGAACATTATTTATTGTAAGAATAAAGGGATGAATGTTAAATAGAAATATTTTTATTATAAAACTGAATCATAACAACTGGAGGAGGTTGGAAAAGAACGAAGAAGATATGTTCTTTATGTCAAATATCAGAATCGAATTTAAGAATAAGATAAAGCTATTTAATTCATATTTCTCATAAAAGTGCTTCAAAGTTAATTTATAAAAATGCTTTAAAATTAATGCTAATTTATAAGCTTAATTTTATTTTACAAAAGTCAATTAAGATTTAAGGAAGCAAATTTACAAACCTGGATCACATTTGCAGAAATAATAAGGCCATAAGTGATCAAATCGTGGAATACAGGTACTATGACCGCAGGGTAAATTTTTACACGGGTCAGCTTTTTCTGCGCAAAATTCTCCAAAATAAGGTGTCGGACATATGCACCGCGTTTTGTAATCACATACTGAGATACCATTGTTTTTGCATCGATTCTTCTGATCACATTCTTTATTGATCGGACACCATTGTTGTTTATGAAATGCATTATGCACTATAATGCACAGTAACCATTTAAGATATTTTATATATGCATGCATATTAAATTATGCAAAAATTCCAAACTAAAGGAATATTTAAACATTTCTTCAATTACTCCTTGTTACTCGGAATATATATCTTTCAGGGTAGCTTTTAAAATTTTGAATAGCAACATCGCTGTTTGAATCTAAAAACCATTTAAGCAAGCATACTAACCAACTGAACACTGGCAGAAATAATCGTTGCCAATATTTTTGCATGAGTCTTGCCCACATGGTTCGTAATCACAGCTTTGTAACAATACACAGTTATCACTGCCATTAGTTTTATAGCCCTCTCGACAGATACAACTGATATTTCCGTTGATAGTAGTCGAGCAACTACCTAAAAATTTCAAAACCACAATTACTGGACAATTAAGGAATATTAGAGTACATTGTATTGCGAACTGCTTTTTTAATGAATAGATCATGTATGACTGTTCATTGTGTTTTCAACTTTTTCAGCAAGCATGGAAAACATGCACGGTATGCCGGAATTCAAAATATCACAATCATTCTACAAGTCAAAAAACAAATCCAACCATTTCTGCAAAAATTAAGTTTATGAGAACAATGAATTTTGGGAACTGCGAAAGTTGCATCAATTGTAGTTGAAGCAATTGATCCTATTGTAGTAGATTGAATATTATCATTTCTATGAATATCTGTATTGACCGCCGATGGAGAAAAGGTTGTTGCTGTGTGTGACACATCACTTTTCCATCTTCGTATAGTGGTAATTTCTGACGAAACTAATTGATCAGAAATAAACTGCATTAATGATTGAGGTCGATCAGATATAGAGCCATGGTTCTCCATGGAGACTACTATCTCTTCATTCTCTTCCTCTCTAATTTTTGGGTTTTGGCTCTTTACTGGGAGCTGTTTGGTAAATAATCCTAAATCTATATTTAGTCTTGCTGAAATATTTGCAAATATCATCGATGTCAATGACGATGACTCATTCACTACTCCTTGGGTTTCTTCATCCAGCAACTGCTTCTGGTGTTTTGATTTCCATACGCTTTCCCAGCACTTCATTCCTGAGCCTAAAATTCAAATTTCATACACATTTTTAAATCTAACAACTTTCAAGACAGCACAATAGTTCCTTTTGTGAATGATGTCCAAAAAGCTTCACAATGATAGCTGCATTTCCGCAAACTGCATTTTCGAGGAATTATTGAAGGAAACTTCCACATCGAGAGAGGGTGTTCAACGTGCACAGTTTGTCCATCGGGCTACTCTTATCATTATGCAATTATTAGAACTAAATAATCAATACTGAAGAATAGGACCAATAATCGACCATAACTCTTCAAGAGATAAATACCTTCTGATGACAGATCGCTATTACGAAGGCAAGAAGTTGTCACTCCATCAAAATGACATTCTTCATCTCGAGAACAAAAATTAGCCAAGCACAAATTCAGAGCTACACTGCAGTCGAGGCCAATATGAAAAAACGGGCAAATGCATCGCTCCTTCGAACAATGGCCATTATTTTTGCAGCCTGATTTCCTGCACGAAAAGTCTGAAATGTTTGAAATATTGGATTATTTCATATTTCATTTTCTCCTATCGTCTTCTTACCTGCCTAAAACACATTTTTTTTTAAGATGGCGATGGATAAGCATGGAGAGAAGAATGTTCTGTCAATCCGACAACCACTGGAACAGGGACAATTCAACTAATAGATGAACTTTCCAGTCATAAGCCTCGTTCGGCAAGCCAACTTTTGACTTACCAATAGAACCACTGTTTTGGTAACCAATCAGTCTCTTTAATCCTAACAACTTATTTCCCATCATACAATATTTCCTTGTCTCTTCATTCTTATGCAATGAAGCATTCTTCCCAGTGACAAAATAAACACTAGTGATTAATAAAAGATAACATTACCTTTGCAATGATTATTTATCGACATTTGCTTATTGGCATCTATGTTGCATGCATTGCATGTTGTTTGTCCCGCTCTATCTTGGTAAAAACCAGTCGGACATTTTATGCATGGTTCAAAACCTGTGCGGCTGAACCATCCGGGCTTGCATTTCACTAAAAGCACACAAAAAATTGCAAAAATTTTTTCTTTAAATTTAATTTCAAATTTAATAAAAACTAAGCGGTGAAAATGTGATTTCTGCATGTCCCTTAATTATAAGTCTCTTCGCTAGATAACTTTAAATTGATTCAATAATTTCACAGCATATATATAGAAATACATGCAAATGCTGATCGAAATTACTTACGTACGCACTCGCTGGCTGAAACTGCACCGACTATTGAAGTTGTGTGAGGTGACGAACAATAGTTGCAATATTGCAAACCATAATGGGACTGATAAAAGCCAACTGCGCAAGCCTGGCATGGTTCAAGGCCAGTTGGTGAGAAGAAACCAGGTGGGCACTGTTCTGAATTGTTATGCCAATATGTATGCAGTTTCAGAATCTAGTGGAGTTGAGTCAGCAAAAAGAAGAGAAATGAGAATTCAGAAGTTTATCCAGAAAAATTATGTGTATATTATTGCTCACGCGATTTAAACCAAAAGAATAAATGATTTCCAGCCAAGTGAAATATTGCAATTGTTGAAAATAACTTGTTTTAATTGATATAGGATGAATATACGAAAGCTATCGGAAATACCTAATCAAGAATAAGATGAAATGCTTTTAATAAGATGAAATGAATGCTTCTCAACTAATAATTACTTCGACATAATTGAGACGAAAATGATCCTGTTTTTGCTGTAAACGTATTCGTTGGACATCTTGTACAATTCCTGGCATTAACAGTTTCAGAGAAGCTATGAAGTGGACAAGGATAACAGCCATTTGCAGCAGCATAAAAACCAGGAGCGCATTCATCTGGAGAATTAGTAATTTTCAACATTAAGATATTAATTTTTTGAAACATCAATAGAATTTCACATTTCAATCACCACTTTTATCATTTCGTATAATTGCAATAATATCGATTTAAAAACAACCATGTTAGAATTAAAATATTAGTTATATGATGAAAAGAATTTTGAAAAAAAAAGAAAAAGTGAAGTAACCATTGGAACAGCCAGTGGAGTAATTCGCAGATAAAGCATTGAATTCAATATTTTTACAGGTAGTCTTTAATGCCTATAAGCATGATGCATATGAAAATTCAATGCTTGCGTTGTTTTAAAAAGATTAGCTTACTTCGGCAAACTAGGCTATTCTGTTTCTGAATCACTCTAAACAGCTTTTTCTTGAACAGGAATTTGGGATGCTAGAGAAAGCTTCAAAGCTTATTTTCCCTTTGCTAGAAACTTAATAGGTAATTTCCGAGACTTATAAGATTACGGAATCTTTTTTTTGAAAAAAAAAAATAAGATTACGAAAAACGAAAAAAATTATTGACTTTGAAAACTTACGTTAAATGCAAGTTTTCCCTTGATGATTTGACGAACGAACTGAGCAGCACACTTCAGCGTCATCGATATGTTTTCATGACGCACTGTATAGTTGATAAATATATTACTGTCTATAACTAATAACCCAATAAATGTCCACTTTAACTGACGACATTCCTTAGTTTCGTGCATTTTAGGCAGCTGGTGCACCTGTAAAAGTAATCTACTACGGAACAAGCTATAGTCAGCACCAAAGGTGATGAAACTTCAATAAATCATAAGTTTCATAACCGCACCTTAACAACAACGATGGCAAGCTTTCAATTCCACGTAAGTCAGTAACGGAATTATAGCAAAATTCTCTTACGAACAGTGTAATTTGTGATCATTTCCAGCTTATTATGGAATTCAATATCTTCTTATTATTCATGACGCAAAGACCGATACTTTCTGGCCCACTACGTCTATGTATACGTCTATACGCCTATAATGTCTGTAACAGTTAACTAAGAACCTATGAAGTCAGACAAACATAAAACTTTTTTAGCCCCACAAAAGATAATGACCTTATCAATCAATGCAGCTTTACAGGATTCATTCAGATGTGAGCTAATGGCAAGATTCACAGATAAGTTAACATCTCCAGCAGAACTTTCTGAAATTACAAAAGCAAATCTGGATGATAACATTGTAAATTTACACTAACACAGCAAGTTAAGAATTCTAGAAACTAAGAAAAAAGGTGTAGGCTGCACAAAGAGAAATACAAAATAAAATCAATGTGACGATGTTTGAAATTAGCAAGCAACAAAGATACAAGTGAAATATCATTCTTTTAAAAGGTTATAAGATAAACGTAAAACAGAAAAGAAACTTAACAATGATACTAACGTAAGCAAATTGGTGTCCGAAATAAGTTTAAAGGGAAATTAGCAATGGACTGAGGGCTCATATAACTCCATCCTTGACCAGCCACACAATGTAAAGACGTCACATGGTTAGGGAATTGTATTCCGGGACATTTATGTCGTCGTTTGCACACTCGGTGATTCATTGAACCCTCACATTGATATTCTGTTTCATTTATGGGCCATAATGGACAGTCAGCTACTACAAAGGATGAATTGGTGGACACGTCATGTTTGCAAAACAATGTGAAAATTTGTAAAAGGCTAAAGTATAACTCATTTAAAGTTTCCCGTTATGATGAAAAGCTGGCGTATAAACAAATAACATGGATAAACTACTCTTACCGACCGAATAAAATAATTCTTAACAGGTAAGTTATGTTTTGCCAGTCTGTTACAAAATTAATTTAATGTGGCTGACCTTCTCCGATATACCAAAACACACACTGTGCTGAATTGTTACTTTCATTAATTGCAGTAACCGTAATTTGTAGGGGTTGACCAATTTCCGTGACAGTGCCATTTGATGGAGTATAATGCAGTGAAACACGTGAGCCAAAGTCACGATAACTAATATCTGGAAGACGCGACCTGAATTTCAACGACGTCGTGTTTGCCAAATGATCGATGTACAGAGGTGGACAATCGAGCGCAGGCGCCCAGTAATCTACAAATTTCCTTTGCTGTTCAAATTTCACCAAAATTCGGTAAACTTCATCTTTTGCTCCATATGTGATTTAGGAAATTAGTGCAAAAAGATAACCTTTATAAGAAATATATGTTGAACAATTCCTAAACTGTAGCATCCGATTAGTCACTGTCCATATAATCGCATCCTTTTCTTTGACAAATTGTACTGTACCGTTGAAGATATCGTGGTCAACGGTGAGATTGTAAAACGGCTCATAATTATATATCAGAGGAGGTACGACTGTTGCAGTAGCTAATAACCCTTTTGAATATCTGCAAAGCACCACAAGCTTCTTTCTACAGTCAATACGTTAATTCCGACGTATTTTGATGGTGCTAAGCTCCGAAATAAATTTCCAGTAATCCCATACAAACACCGTCATTTTTTCGAGAAGCAGGTTTCTGGTCCTAATCACTTCACCTAATTAAATTATATAAACTCAAAGTTCATTTCAATATTATCCAAATGTACAAGAATTAACGTAATTAGAATTGTTTTTTTCTGATCTTTGAGTTCTAAAAAAAGCATGCCTCAACACTGTAATGTTTCTGGGGCATATAACTCTAAACATCGGATAGGGACGTAAGTGTTCGACGGGAATTTTTGACATATTGCCCCAACTATTACAATAGTCCTTTTGACAACACATTTCACAGGCTTCTTCTTTTGTTTTACATCGGGTACGGTTTGCAGTACATTCGTTCATACAGCCTTTCCGTAAGACATTTCCTTCCGGAGTCTTAATTATCTGAGTGAAGCAATATTGTCTCTTATCACAGAAAACAGCAGAAGAATCGTTGCAATCTGTTTCATTACTTCCTGAACAAACGTAACACACTGGCCCTGAAGATACGACAATTGCAATAGTGACTTATTTGGAGCATCTTTTGTTATACAACTTTAAAAATCAATTGTTGCATTCAAGCAGTTTAATTTCTAATTAAGTATCAGTTTTGACTGATAGCTTCTTTACCTCGTTCCACGCATGCATCATTTTCCGATGTGTAATTTATGCTGCAAAAACATAAGTTTGCACTTCGTGCATTATAAATCCATTTTCCATGCCGTGTACAGAAGAGCTGTGGATCCTGACCTTGAACGTTGGTATGCGCACCGTGCAAACATCGTCCAAAAACAATGCTACCATCTTCAACAGCAGCTGTTTGTGGGAACAATGCAAAGCTCACTCGTACCTGACAATCGATATTTTTTTCGTGAAGCAATGTCTCAACTTTCTTTTTCTTTTAACTGATGTTCAAAAAAGAAAAACAGTTCATGTTTGATTTGGCTCATCTGAATTTTTTGAATTAGTTTTTTTGTGCAAATTAAATTAATATTTGATTTTAAACAAGTAGCCTCACACGGTCACATGACATCGTTAGTAACTGAATTTTACACAAATGAAAAGAACAAAAATGTAGACAACGCACGCTACATCTGCTAGGAATACATACTAATTATAAAATACTGTTTCTTTAATTTCACTCAGTGTAACAAATATCAAAAAGAGACAATTTTGTACCTCTGGACATTTTATGGCATAAATCTTTACGCTTTCCAGTGTCGCGCTGTTGGAATCACTTCGAATTCCAAGAAACAAGTTTGAATGCTGCGTGCAGATTTCTTTTTGAAACAAGTTAAGTCTATGATCTATCAAATCGATATCTGACATATTCAAATAAGCCGAAGGGTGATTTGCTATATTTGTATTTTCTACAAAATACGAAATTAGTTCCAAGGAGCATGTTGAACAGTTCTCTGCCTGATATTTCACTTCAATGATATTACATCCATATGGCAGTAGGACGACTTTTTGGAACAGCCAACTCCTACAATGAGCAAATTTGCATGCTGTCGAAGAATCTGTTTTTGACTTGTAGCACTTTCCTCCCCTTTTTTTCTCAAGATCTAATATTGAAAAAGTATTGCCTATTAATAGCACGGTACCTAAAGAAGCTCTCATAACTTGAACTGCTTCTATCATTGCCATGAACGCTATTATGAAATCACGGTGACATTGCTGTTATCATACCATAACCATAGCAATAGAAACATACCTATTAGCATATTTTGTTCCATTCAAAATACTACTGTTTTGCATTGATATCTAAATGGAAAAGATATATGGCAGATGCATACTATTTAGGCATTAAAGACTTTGAAAATATTTCAGACCGATTGGCCGAAGATATCATATGAAAGATAAACTGATAAAAACTTACAATTTCCGAAGTGATTGACCACTTGCTATTATCAGTGGCAAATAAAAGTTCTAAAAAAAAGTTCGTACTGAATAAAAGAATGTAGTTCATTACAATTAATAAGCATAGTAAAAGTAAAAAATGAAACATGTGAGGAAAGAACCTTTAACCAATTCACTGTTTTGAACAATACCAGGCCAACTGCGACCAGTTTCAAAAGTTTGGTAAACGTAAAGATCTACTGGATGTTTTTCCAGCAGTTCTTCATTCTTGCCTAGTATAATGCAATAATACCTGCCATCATCAATTATCTGTAAAGTCAGCATAACCGAATTCTGAGTAATTAGGTAATTGGGCATTCATAAATATGCTGCGTACTAAACCATATAATCTTCAAACGACTAGCTACTCGTAAGTTTATAAATTACTTCAGTGTAAATAGAAAATTAACCTTGACGCTTTCAAAAAACAATCCAAAACTGCCGTTTCCACCTTCTAAAGATACACCATTTATGTTTTGGTGATCATCACGACACCAATTGATCTAAATGAAGGGATCGCTAACTTAAACAATATAACTTTGGCTTATATTCTTAATAAACCATATATGGTAATTATAAACGAGATACTAACGTATGCTATATATCTTTATTCATCATTTCTGATGTACTTACTACACAATATCAATCTTTTATATTACAGGAAGAGGTTAACTTACTGAAGTAATATTAGTGCATTTAGCACTAAGAAAGCACCACAACATTGCAGATGTATTCACGGCAACATGCAAATCACTTACAGTATTTCTGATACAATTTTTAGAGTAACCTTTGGTCACCGCAGCGCTATCATCAGATTGAATTCTTTGGATATCTTCTACATAATAAAAAGTGTTACTGCAAGAAAAATAATGTCTAAACTCAAAAAATTTCCGTCTCGAAAATAAATCTCAACAAATATTTTGCTCCATGATATATGAATTGCTGCGATACTCAATGATACAACAAAGGAGAGCAATTACTTTCATGGATACATGCGGGAATACTATTCAAGTTCCAGGTGTAATTCTGCATGCAAAACAAAAAAATTTCCGTCTGGCCATTTGCAAATTTAGCACCATTTTTACATTTGATGAATAAACTGAAATAAAGAGCATGAAAAAGAATTTATATGGAATAATAACGGTTATATATTCCTGAAATGAATCTCTTCTCTTACAAATGATTGGATTGTTTTTTGAACTGATCAAAAATCTAAAAATCGAATGTACGTGTTGTCCTCAAATATTCTCGCTAGTTCGTCTGCTATATAATTCAAGGTTGTAATCTTTATTAGCAAATAATCAAGCAACGATTGGATTATATCAAAGGATACCCATATCCCACAAACAGATTAACTATATCTAACAAATTTTATGCAAACTCAGAAAAAGAGTCATTTTGGGTGTCGAAATTAGGATTCTAAAAGTTCAGTGGTTCTTAGTTTTCACTTTTATTAGCACGAAATGTATAAAAAAACAGTCGAGATCTTTTGAAAATGGCATTTAACTTTCTTATAAGACCAGCAATGTTATTTTTTAAAGCACTTTAAAATTTTGCCGAGATTTCAACCTTGATAAAACTACGGATTGTCTGAAAACAATTTAGATTTTAAATGCAGTTACCTGTATCCAGGTGTATCTGTAATATGCGTAGCTGACTCAAATAATATTTCCAAATTATCCGCGGCATTGTCTTTGTTATTACTTACAGGAATGGTTTCATAGTCATCAAGTTGCAAGCCGGGACACTGCCTTACTAAAGAAGACTTTGACATACGCTCAATTATGCATAAAATTATTGGAAATCTGAGAAGTGTCAGATTATTCAATGAAATTACATGGGAATAAGATTACCGAAGAAGAGATAAAACTTAATCTAAAAGAATGAATTTAGAATTAATTATTAAAATATTCCGAAATATTTAATATGCAGTGATTATTAGTCAATTCGTTCGAGTTTTCCGTTCCAGGAAACATTGAATATCAATGAATTTAACAACATACCGACACAATCTGGTAATTTCGATAAGGACCACTTGTCAACACCAATACAATATGATGAAGATGGACCGTTCAACTGATAAAATTCGTCGCAGAAAAAATGAATTTTATCATTAAATTTGTAGCTCTTTTTAATAGGCCAAATCATTAGATTTTCCTTTGTAATTTCTAGCGGCTTGCAAGTTACACCTAAAGACATGACCAGAAAAATATTGCAACGTTGCTATTTTATGGAATTACATAGGGATAAGATTATGTCAATCTTTTGTTTGCTAAACAATCAGTCAGAAAGTAATTTCAAGCTATTCATTAATACGTCTAAAATAGTCCACTTAAGCGATTTGATTACTTATAACCCAAGCAACTTTATCGACGATACATATAGTTTTAATATAGAAGTAAATTCTAAAGAAAGTTTAAAAGTCGCAATTACTTTGAATCAAAGGATTATAAAATATGTTTATTTCCTTGAAAATTTTCGAGCACATTACTGCTCATGCTGTAATATGAACACATACCTAAGCAATCATTTAACACTATCCATGATTCGGTCTTATCGCAAACAAGGGTCGTATAATTATATGCAGGATGATTGCAAGCAAAATACACAACTGTACCGATTTGGAAGAGCCCATTTTGATATGGGAAGGTATCCATATATAACGGATAAGGGATAACGTTTGGCGGAATCTCAGGTGCAGGACATCGCCTCTCTGTAAAATTGTATTACTGTACAATTTCGGTGAAAACCAATGAAGAAAAAACAATATTTCCTATATTTAAACAATTTGACAAAATAACATTCACATTATTTCCTAACTCAATAATGTGCCATCATTTGTGCATTAAAAATGATTAAATCCTGACACAAATCTGATACGGTTTAACACGCTCTATTATGCGACGAGATTTTTGTAATTTGAAAGTTATATTAATCAGTGATATGGGTACTGAATTATAGCAATCCAATATATCACTGAGTTCGCTAAATTATGAAATTCTTGTTTAGTCATTTTGCTTGAATCCACTATCACCAGAACCGGTAATGATGAAGCAGTTATTTGATATTAAATGAAGAAAATTAACGAAGAATATATTGCAGATATACTACAAGCAAACTATTTCCCTTAATGAATTTGACGATAGTCGAGATTTGAAAGTCAATATTGGAATCATTTTGCAAACAGCAAAGACCGTTTACTTTCTCTTACATTTGCCTTTAAAAATAAACATACCAATACATGTTCTATTTGGGATCAGAAATTCAGTATTAGTGATAAGATTGTTCAAGCTGTTTGTACCAGTATAAAGCCTATGAGTATCAGGACATTTACATTCGTAAGAACCCATTGTGTTTACACATGTAAATTCGCAAAGAGAGTAGCCTGGTGTGGAACACTCATCGATATCTAGAAATAAACATTAAATTTCTAATATATCATTCATTATTTTTAAGCATCTATTCAAAAACAAATTTGAATTATGTTCAAAAGAAGCAATTTAAGATATTCAATAAGTGTAATTATTAGAGAATAATCAAAAAAGTACAACTATACCTGAGCACGTATAACCTTTGGATGTGGAAATCATGCGAAAACCTTCATAGCAAAGACAACTATAGCCACCGATTAGCTGTATACATGTTCCATTTCCACATGAATTATAGTAGCAGTAATATTCAGCTATAAATCATTGGTTTCAAATAGATACAATTAAACAAAACCAAATTTCAGCGAACACACTCGCGAAACTAATCACTTAGAAACTAACGATAACAATAAGGTGTGCCTTTCCAACTACCAAATATGCACATTGGATCAGAATCTTTTTGATAAAATCCTTCATCGCATACATATTTTCCAGCCGTACCATTTGCATAAAATTGATCCAAGAAGTGTCCATATGCGAATGAAGTAGCATGACAACGAGTTGCTATAATTCTAGTTGTTCCTCAAATATCTCAGAGATTGATCAAGTCATTTTAAAGCTTTAACCAATGAAATAAATCAAAATTACCCTGACAGGAAAAATCGGGATTGGTCCATGTTCCACTCTCGGTACATAGCCGAAACGGTGGAGAGTTGCCATTTAAGTACAAACCAGATTCACATGAATAAAGTGCTCTACTGTATAACGTTACATTTCTAGTATAACCAGTAAGAATTGCATCATTGTACACTACACTTGCCGAACCACAGCTCAAAACTGTAAAAGGAATCATCTTTAAGCCTTAACAAATATCTTTGCAGGAACTTTTAAAATACCTTTTGTCAGGTGATCACTTATAAAGTACTAATATCTAATAAAATCTAAACTGATACTCTGGCACTTCGGTTTCGGTGTCCAATTACCATTGTAACAACGTGATAAAAAAAACTGTCCAGACGGTATCTGGTAGCCCAAATGACATTCAAAGTAAAGCTCACTGCCCATTTCAAAACCTGTTACATTTATCACCGAGCCATGAGCAATTATCGGCAAAAAACAGTATATTCCTGAAAAAGAACTCGAATTGCAACTTCATTGCAACTTCCATTTTGCCTTGACTTTTTTATTCACAGTTGTTCCATCTGATCGGAGATTTGGGAAAAAAAAACGATTAGGTCAAACGATTAAATTTTTTTTCTTTTTTTGCAGCATTTCAATTTAATACTTTTGAATTGTACAGCAAAGGAGCTTTTTGTATCTTATGAGAAATAAAACTTTGGAGGAAGTAAAAATGAACCTCGCGTGGCGTATGAGAACTTTAGAATGACATTACGCATTTTAACAACCGCTGGAACAGTCTTCTGAGAGCGGAAATTGATTATTACCGTGTTACCAATGGAAATATATTGTGTTTTTGCTATCGACATATTCAATAACATTTGTGAGTTCATGGTACTGTTTTGGATTCCAGTAATGATCAGTTCATCACCATCTCTAATGGTGACATTAACTAGCTACAAAAGTTATTCCTTGAAAAGCATGATTGAAATCGATAATATTTTAATGGCAAATGAAAGGCATTTTTGAGAATATTGAGGCAGAATTTTTTAAGTTGCTTATAAAGCATATAATTCTAAAGCACTCGTGAAAACAAACCGTAAGGACGATTTTGCTGTCAACAGGTTGTCGGATGATCCACTGACATATAGCATATTCAGCGGAACTCATTTCAAAGTTTATTTCATTTGCTGCTTCTTCAAATAGTGTTTTACCGCAGCCAACACGCCTCTTTGAACAACTTGCTTCATCAGAATTATCACTACATTCTTGTATTCCGTCACATCGACCCTTTCGTGGATAACACTTACTATTATCTTCGCATCGAAATTGATAATCTGTAATTAGAACGTTAGCAAAAAGTATGGAATTTGAAAACGAGCATAATCAATTCCAAACTCACCTTCTAAACAAGCAAACGTTTCGCAGATTGTTCGATACTTTGTCGAACAGTTTCCCATTTTCCAACCATAGTTGATTTGATCCGAAAAATTAGCATAAATGTAGACACAACTATTTCTAGCGCAATCTGCAAGCCCAGACTGAAAGAATAAAGGGTTGATACATGTTCGAATACTATTTTTTCATTCAGTTTGAAGCAGTTGTTCAGATCACAGATTGGAATGTTCACCAAAAAGCCGTGCATTGTCAAAATTTCACAAATCCTTCTTTTCCCCAATACTTATTCAAATTAAAAGTGTTGGAAATGGCTTAATTAAAACCTGATGTGACGACCAGAGTGGATTATAAATAGATGTTGTGTAAGGATAGTATTTTGCATGAAGCACTGCATCCCGTGCACGACAATCCTGTCTCCTTGAATCCTCTGCGCCTCGATAATAAAATGCTGTCCAATAACTGTTTGTTGAATTGAGCAAACCGACGCTCATATCACGCATCAAAAACCAATCATGCAGGGCAATGCTTCGACTGTAGTTATACCTGCAAAAGTGGAGATTACATCACGTAACATCCTTACTTCTTAGAAGTGTTACTCCATCGTATTTTTGAGGTAAGATATGAAATGGATCATTTTCTGGCTCCTACCACCCTCAGCATCAACACCAAAAGAGATACTTTGATAGATATACCAGTTATCGAACCATCCCCCCATTCATCCACCACTTAGCCATTCAGTTAATCAACCGTTCCCCATGAAAATCTTTGATTTTTCCATTTATTAGTATTTGTCGCCATTATTCTTGATTTCAGCTAAGAATACACAACTGGATGCTAACAACATACCTCTGAGAAGCGCAAAGATTGTTAGCATCTGCCCAAGAGAGTTCTTGCTGAACAACTATAAAGCATGAATTTCCATACAAAGTCCATCCTACAAATTCATGCCTATTTAACTTGCAAATTATATTACATCGTTTTTTGTATTATAAACAGATTTTCTTTTGGCTTCAAAATGATAAACATTCTAAGTTTCAGAAAAAAAAAGGGTTTTTAAGTACGGATGAAAGGGAATGTTGACATCTGCTAGCTTAAACGTATTATCACCGTGTCATTGTTATTTTTTTTTTTTTACTTATATGCTATTACTCAACGCAATTATTACCTTCGTTACATCCTTTTCTGCATAACCTTACCTTCAATGCAAGAGAATTTCACATTCCCAATATGATAGTTATACTGAAAAATCGCCGTAACAATGCCAAGTAATATCGATATATAAAAGATGGAAGAACTTGAGATCATACCATTAACGGGAACCATTACCTTCACTTCTCGAAAGGTATTCAATAAACACAAATGACATTCACTGCGGTAATTAAAAACGTTATCAGTGTTCACCTGTTCTGCAACACACACACACACACACACACACACACACACACACACATACACATACACACACACACACACGCGCACACACACAAACATACATACATACATACATTATGTACATAAGAAAATGTACTTTTACAGAGATACTTCCATTCTGTTTAACTTTTCATAACTTTTTTTTCTGATTAATATCAGAATTGTATTGCTGTCATCTTCGAGAAGCAGTGAGATGCACATGTCACATTTTGTTTACTTTCACCATTTGATAGGACATTTCGTATATTGCATTATCAGTGTATCTTAAAAATGATATCCTCCTTGCATCTTCTGAAGTGCAAGTTGTAAATGAATTTCGATGATGAAAGATCAAGTAAAAAAATGGAAATTTTCCAAATTAGGAAGAATTTGAGTCCATCTGATTACCTTTTACATTTTGGATATGAATGTTTGGTAAAGTGAACTTTTTGAAATGATACACTATCATACACTATCACTGCATGTTGATAAGATAAATAGAATTTATATGTATCTACTCATTCTTAAGAGTGTCATTTGCAAATGTACCAATGAATATTTGAAGTGATAATATAACGGTTATCAAGACACATTTTCCTATATAGTTTTCTGATATTCACAATTGCTATAATAAAATAATTATGGCAATCATGCCTTACGCCGATGAAAGTTAAGCGAAATTCAAATGACATTCTTCTACATTCAAAATAAAATATGTTTTGAGAAATTGAAGATATAAAAATATTATTAAGCAACTTTCATCATATCAATTGATGAAAAACTTTGTTCCAGAATGCAAAAGGATATCAGGAAAGAAAGCAATAAAGAGCGATTCATGAAATTAATGAATCGTGATTTGGGTACGATTAATAATTTTCCAATTGTAATAGAACACTATTCATCTTCAGTTTCATTATCGAAGTCTGATTATCGATTCGCACACAAAATTTGCTTAACGGGAACCTCACTATCCTCAAAAAGAGATCGATCATTTCCGTTACAGAAATTTTAATTTGAAATCCATAATTATACCAAAGTTCAGTTATCCGTTTAAACTGGAAATGGGCAACACTGCTTTGAACCGTATCGTTTCTATCAAGTTTCATATTACTGGCAGGTACGAAATTGATATTTATGAACAAACTGTTCTCTTGCTATCATAGCAGGTATTACGATATCTTGTAGTAGACTATACAACAGACCATTCAGAAGAATTCAGGAAATGTATATAAAAATAATCGTCCAGTATAAAACATTAAATCATCCTTTAGAAATGATAAGTCTTTTTTTGTCTTGAATTCTTCGAAGAAATAAGGAACCTGAAATTTGTTACAAAGTGGACAAGCTGGATAAATCAATGAACCATGCTGATGGCGAGGACACAAGACAAGAATTTGTTCCATACTGTCTGTCACAGAATAATTATTGCCGAAATTTACTTCACTTTAGTTATGCGTAGTTTCGACTGATCAAGTTGTTTCCGGCCGATAATCCCTAACTATGCTACGTTATGCTTGGAACATGCAAAAGATATATATATATATATATATATATATATAT